TAGAAAAAACTACATTTTTTAGAAACAATGAAAGCAACAGTTTATAGATTCTAATACACACACACACACACACACACACATATATATATTATATGAGTTTATTCAAATTGTAGATGAAAGTTTCACCTGAGGAAGATCCATGATCTTTGGGGCAGGGAATGGGGTCACGACCCTGGGTTTCTGAGGATGTTCAACGGCAATTATAAGTCGATGAATCATGAAAAGGACAATCAAGAACGCGATGATAGCAAACCCTAGAAGAACTTTGAGATCAACATTTAAGAGGCGAATGAGACTGTGGTCTCTGCTTCTGTGCTTTCGGAGTTTGGGATTGCGGAGAGGGGTTCGATCTTCGTCGGCGTCTATATTTGATTCTGCTTCTCGCACTTCGTCGCCCACTTCCAGCCATTTTCAGATCAGTGAGCACTGAGGAGAGAGAGTAGAGAGAGAGAGAGAAAAGAAGATGGCACTGAGGAGAAAGAGTAGAGAGAGAGAGAGAAGAAGATGAAGATGGAAATGTGCCGTGGACTTCGGCTGGGCGAGTATGGACCCTTGTCTGGCCCAAGTTTAGGCCCAATTAGTAATGACGCTCAATTAGCAAATATTGGCCCACTTTGAGGCCCATTGTTTAATTGAAGCCCAATTTGACAAACTTTGCTGTCCAACTGGCCCAGGCAAACATGGAAAAAACCGGAGGACAAGCAATAATCAATATTTCTAAAACTAGTAATTAGGGTCGAAAATGAACCAAGTAATAGGTTGTTTAATTTTGATTTGATAATTTAACGAGTTTAAAATTATATTTAAATTTAATTTTTTTATATAACGAATTGATTTTGAATGAGTTTTTAACAAGTTGTACACAAGTCGAGTTTAAATAACTTTATTTTGGGAACATAGAAAAAAAACCATCATATTGGTTTATTGGGGTTATATCACCTCTACTTTTTTGTACGTTTTCTTTAAAAAAAATCCAATAAATAGCTTTGTTAGCTTTTTTCCTACTTCCCAAAAGTCAAGTAGTAGAACTTAACAAGTTTAAAATTATGTTTATGTTTGACTTATTTACATAATAAGTTAATCTCAAATGATGAGTTTTTAACTTGATTTATTTAACGGCCATACTAGTAATTAAAATTCTACCAAAGGATACTTTTCATGGCATTGAAAATTTATAAGGAAAGAAAGAAAAAAGAAAAATATTATTGTTATTTTTCCATGTAAGCAAAAGTGTTGAGTTAAATTTCACTTATCACTCGTTCTACCAAAATTTCTTTTGCCTCTGTCAGTTTAATAATTAATCTTTTATGGTTTAAATCAAGTTGCAATTAATGTCACATTTTCGTTGTACATATGACCTTAATAAGTTGACAAAACTTATTATATGAGCTATAGGTATTAGCACCTTTATATTTTCATCAAAATTTCTTGCATCTGTACCAAAATTTCACTTTGATATCTCCATTTTAAATTTGTGTTAGCTTCATTAACAGTAGATAAATAGAAAAATGGCATCACAACTATCAAGTATAAAAAGATTAATTGTCACAATTACGGCCAGGTTTGGCAAGTCCCAAAAAATCAAAAAAGCAAAAAGTTACACAAAAAGCAAAAAAGTCATTACTATTCACAAATAAAAAATATTAAAAAAATATTTTATACATTTTTGTAATACAAAAGTTTGAATTACACTATCAGCCGTACTGCCCCAGCAGAAAGGCAGGTCATACACTTTTTGGGCAAAAAAAAAAATTTACATATGTAAAGCCACAAAGTTTGATGGTAATGTTGGGTCCTTGGGGGCCCACTAAGGGTTCCGTTTTGATAATCCGAAGCGTTAATATGTAGAACTCATTAAGTACTATATGTCTGTAAAAAATCACGTTGATCGGATGTCGTTGACTATATGATCAAATCAGCTTTGTATAAACAAAACAGATGGTGTGATAGTTAACTGTTGAACAATAACTAATCCGATCACATAGCTATCGATATCCGATCAACGTGATTTTTTACAGGCATATAATACTTGATGAGTTGTACATATTGAACGGTTCAGATTATTAAAATGGGACCTATGGTGGCCCCCACAGACCGACCATCACTGTCTAAACACTTTGCCTCGAAGGAAGCAATAATTTGTTGTGTAAGACACGCTGCCCCAACAGGGCAACCGTACAACCTACTCAACTTTCTTTCCTTGTACACTTTTGTATAAACAAGCTCCTTGTGCCTGGTGGAGCTAAGGTTCGCCAAGTTTAGCTCCACCATTCATGATTTTGGATTCTCCTCCAGTGTCTATGATTCTACCATTTTTATTCGTAAGACAGAGCATGGTACTATTCTTCTTCTTCTCTATGTGGATGATATGATCATCACTGGCGATGACACAGTGGGTATCTATAGTCTCAAACAGTTTCTCAGTCGCCAGTTTGAGATGAAGGATTTAGGTCTTCTCAACTATTTTCTCAGCTTGGAAATCTCTCACGATCCGTCTAGTTACTTTCTCTCCCAAGCCAAGTATACTTCTGATCTCTTGGCTCGTGTTGGTCTTACCGATTTCAAGACTGCCTCTACTCCCGTGGATCTTCAGACTCGTCTCACACTTCTTGATGGTCACCTGTTGTCTAATGCTACTTTATATCGTCAACTAGTTGGCAGTCTTGTCTATCTCACAGTTACTCGTCCAGACATTGCTTATGTTGTTCATATTGTTAGTCAGTTCATGGCTACTCCTCGCTCTCCGCACTATGATGCTCTGGTTTGCATTTTACGATATCTCAAAGGCACTATGTTTCATGGTCTTTACTACTCTACTTACTCTTCTCTGCAGTTACATGCATTTTCTGATGCTGTTTAGACAGGGGACCCTATTGATCGCCGTTCTACTACAGGATTCTGCTTCTTCTTGGGTGACTCTCTTATTGCCTAGTGTAGCAAGAAACAAATTATTGTTGCTCCTTCTAGTACTGAGGCCGTGTATCGTGCTCTTACTGACACTATTCAGGAGCTTGTGTAGCTTCGCTGGCTTCTTTTTGATACGAGGGTTTCTCATTCTACTGCGATTAACCTTTATTGTGATAATTTGAGTGCTATTCAGATTGCTCATAATGATGTCTTCCATGATCGCACAAACCATATTGAGATTGATTGTCACTTATACGACAGCATGTTACTAGTGGCACTGTTCGTCTTATCTTTGTTATCTCTGCCAATTAGACAGCTGACATCTTCACCAAGGCTCATCCTCCTGGTTATTTCAGTGATCTAGTTTCCAAACTCAAGTTGGTTGATGCCTACCCACCTTGAGTTTGAGGGGGGGCAGTTAATGCATATTATTATATTATACTTATCTATTTGTATCTCTATCCTTATCTTGTATCTTTATCTCTATCTCCTTGTATCTTTATCTTCTTCTATACTTATCTAGGTTTCTTTTCAGCCTATATATACATGCTTCTCCTATTGTATTCATTCATTCAATTCAATAATACAGATACATAATTCTAACACCATGAATGTATCAGTGGAACCATGTAGGGTTGGTTGGTGTAGGGCGTGGTTAAGATGTGTCCATGGTGGTTTTTTGGGTTGCAGCGGTAGAGGTTAAAAAGCTCAACCAGATGAGGCTCGTTGCTATAGAGGTCACCGGAAACTAGGAACTAGGAGGCTTGATTTGGAAGAGGATAAAAATTTTATTTGCCAAAATTTGAAGTTGAATTAAAAAAATTTACACTCTATAATACATGTGATTGAAGGACTCAAAACAATTTTGGGTCAATTTATTTTAAATCTCAATATCATGTTGGTTATATCACAGTGTTGATCTTGCTAGCAAGATCTTAACAACGACTATGGGTGATTAGAGGAAGTAGAAGAATAGCACTTGAGGGTATATGAAAATTTGAAAACAAAAATGATGAGATGGTAGAATAGTATTGGATGCAGTAAGAAATTGACTTTATGGCTAAACCGTAAAGAAGTTTATCTCCTAAAGTAATTGTAATTTCCTCACTTCACACAAAATTATTCTAAATATACCCTATATGGAATAGTGTACACATACTAAACAAACACACACTAAAAATGGTACACGTACACCAAACTTGATTTGTGTGTGCATTGGATACCTAAGCAAGAGCACCTCCGTTGTTGAAGCATCCCCATTTCAGTACCATTGAAACTCCTCCATCCAGTAGCTCATGTCCAAATATCTAATAATAGATTAAATTGTTGCTAGGATTCTGACATGTATAGATATAGAATTAAATTGAATTTATTGGTCATTACGTATAATTCAATTAAGATATTGTATGAAAGTACAATTTCTTCTATTCTCAACACTTCCATTGTTTCAAGGTTAGGTTTTAATTCAACTTTCATGTAGATTTGGTGAAGTTATTTATATTTTTTGTATAGATTTTTACGACTATTTTATATGTTGGATTTTGAATTTATCAAACTAAAGGTAAGGCAATGTGTACTAATGCAAAATGGTGAGGTAATTGCATATGCATCTAGGCAACTCCGTCCACATGAAAAGAATTATCCAACCCATGATCTGGAACTTGAAGCCATGGTGTTTTTTTTGAAAATCTGGCGCCATTACCTGTATAGAGTGACTTGTGAAGTTGGTGAAATCGGCCCTGTC